GAAAAACTTTAATATAAGTTTAACATAACAGCAAATGTACAACGTACCTGATGTACAAGGTACCTGATGATGACAAAACCTTGTCGAAACGTTGTACATTTGCTGTTATATTAAAGTTTTTCTTCATTACCCATTCAAGCCGTCTCCAGCCATTATTAGTCTCAAAGTGGGTTCCTCGTCATCGAATCTACAGGATGCGTTTCTAATTGGTTGAATAATCTAATGCCCATATAAGAGAGGAAGAAAAGTCTATAAATGAGAAGTCAGAGCACCACCACACCACGTGACTCGGAGCGGGAGACTGAAAATTCATTTCAGTATTTCTATTTGAAATTAAGAGACTTAAATAATACAAACACTTGAATTAAAAACTCAATTTTGATGTCAAGTTTACTAACGAATGTTGACATTTAAGGTTTTGAATGTAACTCTGTAAAAAAAAAAAAAGGTTGTGAAATTTGCACCTTGACCCTTCTGTGTCTACAGGTTTAATACACAGTTTGTAATAAAAAAAGTTAGAGAAATTGAGTTGTAACACTAACAGGTGAAAATAACTTTTTCACCAAATTGGTTCTTACTTTTCTCTTGCAAATGATTTGAACACAATCGCACATCAATCCAAACTCATTACTCGATAATAACGAGATATATTTATAAAACAATGAGCTGCTTACTTACTGCAATTTGTGAGACAGCTCTTCAACCACTGTTCCTGCAGGCTGGAGCCAAAATTCGGATGGGCTAACAATGTGAGAAACAACTGCAGGTATGGGCACTCCTATCCTTACATGCATGGGACGAATTACAAAATCACTTTTTCTCTCACTAGCATGTGCTAGTGTCAGTGGTTTTGGGTCAGGTATTTGTGGCAGACAAGGGTGACTCTTCAGTCCATTAGATGGCGACACATGTGGATGCACGCTTTGTTCATAACATGCTGTGGAATGAAGTGCGGGTGTTGGTGGACTTCTGTCAGCTGCAAGCGATGTATTTGGCTGAGTACCTGTTGTACCGAGATGATGAAAAGATGAGTGCACAACATTTTCGGATCCGTATAATCTGCAAACTTGTTCACCTTCTGAAATGTCTGTCTGTGGTAGTTTTGGATTTCCACTATGTACACTAGGTGGTGTAAAAGAATGCTGATCTATTGAATTATGAAGTAATGGCAAATTGTCATGTTCATTAGGGTCTGAAGGTTTACCAAGTTCAGTACTATTAGGTCCAGTGTGTGCACGAGGTTGTTCTTCTACAACATCAAATGACAATAAAACTTGTGAAATATTCCTAGTATTATCTGCTATACAGGAATGACTGTCTGTTGTGGTATGCTGTGGACTTGAATTTGTGCATTTCTCATGAGTCTGTAGCACACGAGACTGACCCTCCACATTACCAAGACATTTTAATGACTGTGAGTTCTTGTCATGTTTATATGGTAAGGTAAAAAAAGGCTGACTCTCAACTTCTAGTTGACTCTTCACAATACTATGATTTACTGACTGATAAGGCTCTTTGTCAGATACAACAAATGAGGAAGAAGACTGATATTTATCAGAGAGTCCTTCATTCCCTAAATGAGAGATTTTATCGATGTTTTCAACTGAAGTAAATAGCGTATTCACTAACGTTTCTTTAGGATTGTCATTGTGGTCATCTTTTATGTCTGATAGACATCCATCTTGTTTGGATTCCTGATTATAACTTTGGTGCGTGTGCTTCTGGTCTGAAAGATTATCTAAAGTTATCAAGTTTTCAACCTCTTGAGCTCTTTTACCACTATTATTGCTTACACTGTGATTAGAATCAAACTGTATATTTTGTTCAAATGCTCTGTTTGTTGGTGAGCTCGTTAGGAGGGAATAAAAAGAAGAAGCAGGAGATGACACCACACTGACCTGGTTATAACTGTCATCTGAGCTCACACTTGTTTTGTTCCTCAACTGTAAAAATGTTTCTTTATATTCTTTACTATACACATTTTCCGATAATACATCACACGTTGTTAACTGTTCCTTTGGGTCAGGAGTGACCTTGTATGAGACAGTAATTTTGGAGAGCTCTTCACCATAGCTTTCTTTGGAACTCTCTACTGGTAATTCATCTTCTCCATCACCATTTTCCAGGAGATTTACTCTAATAAAAAAAAGCTTCTCAGAGCAAGATTCCAATGCCTGGCTAACTTGATGAAAGTTCTTGAAAAAAGTAGTTCGGTTTTCTTCCTCAAGGCAAGAATTGGCAGTTTTGTTAGCCTGGAAGATATTAATCATAGTTTAGTCATTTGATACAATTATTGTAAGTTTACATGTAAAGAACAGATCACAAAAAAATCGGGTGAAATTACTCATTTTCTGTGTGAAATAAACAAGGAACTTCAGTAGTAATTAGTGGGATAAATTGCAATATTGATGGGGTTTGTTTTTCATTTTTTGTGTGACTCGTATCTTATCTTGAAGCTGAGACCCTGTGACCAACAAAGTCACGGACCCCAAAACAATTTGATACATATGTAGTTTAGAGAAAATGAGACAAACCATGTCATGGGGCATGTAACACTACGACTAACACGTTGTTAATATGAAAAGTCATCTTATTAAAGAAAAAATCAAGATACAAGAGGCCAAAAAATGTGCAACAGAAACTAAATGTCAGGATTGAAAATCAGAACCATCTAACCCAGCATAAGATATTTCAGAGATAAAAAACAAAAGTGTCATAAAAAAGTCAATGAATTGAAATCAACTGAGAGAACAAAGCACTTGTACAACATCAATAAAAGGAGTGAAATAAAAGTAGTAAAGTTAAGAGAAAATAGAAAATAAGCAATACCTTCAACAGAAGGAAAAAAACTGGTGAGTTTTGATGGAGAAAACTTCACAGTTAAATAATATATTCAACAAAGCCTCAATGATTAACATCAAAAAAGATTAAAAAAAGGGAGGGTTTTTTTTACAAGAAAATAATGTGTAATGAAAGAGGAAGATGGCATAAGAGACAGGAAACATACATGAAACAGTAACAGATATTAATGTTGAATAATTACACATCAAGCCGTTTTGTGGCACGAGTTTATCAGTTTAATGAGAGATTTGTCAAAAAGAAAGTACAAGTATTACAGAACTATAAATTTTAGTTACTCTATGCTACAAGTTCAGAAAATCTTTAGATTTTCAAATTATATACATGTAAGAACTGGCTATAAATGACAAGTGGTTTCTGTGTCTGAACCTTTATGGTATCTAATACACAAACTCAATGCGTTGAACATCTGACTTATATTTTAAAATTGAAATAATGAACAACAATGCCACAGATGAGAGAGAGGGTAAAATTTGTTGCAGTGCTAATGTACATACCTTTGCAACAAGATTCTCAATGATAGAAATAATCAATTCTTTTTCATCTTCAATGCTCTGAAGTTTAGACCGTATTCGATCTTTCCCATCTGCAACTGGATGTGAACGATTCATAATGCAAACACACTAAAAAAAAGAAAAAATAATTGATATTTTTACTGCAAGAATTACACGAGATATCTCTCATTCTTACATGTAATTCAAGCTGGTATGTAACTTATGATCACAGATACTGATTAAATCTGATATGAAATCATTTCACTGCAATGTTTATCTTGCTGTAAAAAAAACTTACATATAAACACAACTGATAATGCTGGGTCTATACATAAAACAAGAATAATAATAACCTAAGAATAAGTTAGGTGACAGATTCTTCAAAACACCATAGGTAATAAGCCCTAAGTTCACCAGAAACAAAATATAAAACTAACGAACTCGAAATGAAGTTAACCATCTACATCAATATCTGTCCAACAAAAGACGAAAAAAGTTTGGTAAGGTAATAGAATAGATCGTATCATTAGTAAAACCATTCCACATATTTATAATTTAATGATTAAAAAAAAGTTGGTCAAAGTCTGGACTTTAAAAACTTACAGTTACTACTCTTCAGGTTTTAATTTTCAATGTTTTTTTCACTTCATTGTTTGATTTGTTTATTTGTTATTAAGCACAAAGCTACACAATGGATTATCCGTGTTGTGCCCACCATGGGTATCGAAACCAAATTGTTAGCATTATAAGTTCTCAGACTTACTGCTGAGCCACACGTAGGCCCACTGGTTGGCTGAGCATCCTACAAACAAGTAGCTTATTCAGCACTAACATTTTTGACACTAGAGTCATGTAATCTCTAGGTCTTTAATGATTAGACTTTGTATAATATATTTATGACTGTTAAAATAAAATTAAAAATGTCAGCAGAGAGGTTACTGCTTATGTAGATGATGGTATGGGTGTGGATTTGATATCCACAACAGTTTAGGGAGGCAAAGAGTTGGCCCTTGGTATTGAAAAAGATTGAAAAACCCTGTACTAGTTGAACACACTTAAGCCATCTAAAAAATGTGTTGTCAATAATAAAAGAGCAAATAGGATTTATAGTTGTATCTACAGAAATATTGAATCCAAGTCTAAAGAGATTATAATTTCACTGTGTAGGTTATTGTTTGGGCCACATTTGGAGTACTGTGTCTAGTCTTGAGCTCCTTACCTTAGAAAGAACATTGTTTAAGATTGTTAAGAGAATTGGTAGTGTTGATGCATCATATTTTTTCTATCCAGTGATAAGAATGGTAGGACTTGACGTAGGAGTCAACTTCAGATAATACAGTTCCATTTCTGATGTGGCAGATGCAGTTAAGGGAAGGCTTGATAAATATTTAAATGATAAGGACTGACTCTGAAGTTTAGTTTCATGGATGGGACAGCCTAGATGGACAAGCAGGTCCCTTTTATTCCTTAAATTATATGTAGTATGTAATATTACAAAAGTTATCATCTTGCAAGTGTTGACACATTTCTTAAAACATTAGCCATTTATGTGAAAAATCTACAAACCAAAAAAGGCAAAATTCCAAAAAAACAAACTGGTTCTAAAATGTTTTACAGTCAAGACTCTATTGTCCAATATCAAGTTATCATAGTTTCCAATATTTGCCTGGTGTAAGTTATAATCTTTCACATCCATGTAACTTCTACATTTAGTTGGGGAGTTGATTTTTATGGTGAAAGGCCTTCTGTAAACTTCGTCAGTTCTGTTACCCGAGTAGCTATTTAAGCCTCTCTTTGAAGCTCAAAACTCTAAGCATATAAATTAATTAATTATGGAACATCACGAGCCCGTTGACTCATAAAAGAACTCTCAACAAACAGAAAACTAAATTACTAAATAGTCCTAATCCCTCAAACATTCATCAAGCTCCCATAAAGTGACAGATTTACCACCCTAATGAAGAAATAAAACTGCCTCAACAGGAGATCTTAAAATTACAACTTCTTGTCTTACTGTCCTTAAAATTAAACACACAAAAATCTGACACTCAGTTTTATTTTTTTTCTACAGAATTTTGAATTCCCATCTAACCTATGACCTATGTGTGTAACTTATAACCTACATGCATATAACATTACTCTTATAATTAAATGCCATTACCAAGTAATTCTTTATTTAAAATATAAGTCAGAACTTCATATAAGGTATTTAAACCCCTTGCATCATGGTGACTTTCATAAGTACATACAGATTCAAATTAGTTGTTTTATTTTTTATTCTTGAAGTTTAAACATTATAGTTATTTACTGAGATTAAATGACTAAATAACGCCCCCTCAAACTTTATATCAAGCTTTCGAAAAGGTGAAATTAAATATAAAATAACCATGCTCTCATAACTATTTTAATAGCAACCCAGATAATAAACAGCTAATGCTTTTTATGATGCTAAATAATTAACCTTTTGGAAGACTAAATAACACCCTCTCAAACTTTATATCAAGCTTTCGAAAAGGTGAAATTAAATATAAAATAACCATGCTCTCATAACTATTTTAATAGCAACCCAGATAAGAAACAGCTAATGCTTTTTATGATGCTAAATAATTAACCTTTTGGAAGAACTTTTTAAGAGCTGTATGAAAAACGGGTAACACCAAAAGGGTGTACTTGTTCAAAAAGAGCACATGCATTTTAAAAAAACTCTAGAAAGTGGTCAACAAGATGAATTAAAAAAATCTTACATTTTTCTCTAAAACTGTGCTGAGTATTGTTAAGATGATTAATTTCTAATACTTCCAAACAATATACTAATAATACAACAGAAATTAAAACTGGCAAGCAGTATCAAAGCCTATAATTTTATTTTTTAAGTTTTACGAGCAGAATTAGTATTACTACTATTAGAATTAGAGATATAATTCTCGATATTGTTGAATGTTTCTTTAATGAAGTAACAAAATTCATATCCCAACTTACGGTTAAGCTTACTGATATCGAAATAACATTACGATGACTCACTCAGTATCAAAGCTTAAGTTTGTTTTGAACTGAAGTTGAAATACCGAACCATCAAAACATAGGCTATAGTTACACCCCAATGTGAGTACTTGAACTTGAAGCAGGGAACCATTTGTTAAAATATTTCGAATTTATAAATAATTAATATAACGGCAAATATCTCAAGATAAATCTTTATCCTAAATGATGAAACAATCAAACGTTGATACGTTTACATCACGTTACAATTGAATTACTATTAGTATTACTATTAGCAGAAGCCTCGCGATTCCTTAAATTATCCGCCTGTCACAACGAAAATTAGAATGTCTATCTAATGGTATTTTTCACGACAGTATACACTTTAATTCATTAGTTGGGTTAGAAAATAATTGCTAACTTTTCACATATCACAAAGATAAACAATATTACAGAATCAAATATTAAATTATCTATATGAATATAATAGTACTATCTGTTGTTTTTGTATATCCATATATGCACTTCCTAGGTTGTGTGGATGGATCTTCTCCAAATTTGTCATGAAGGTTTTTTGGGTCCATGGGGAGATACGCACAAATTTTCAGTTTTGCATTTTTCATCTTGCTATTTTTATAGGCATTTTTGCGTTTTTTTTACCACAACTTCGCCCCTGTTGACGGATCTCCGCCAAATTTGGCACGAAGGTTTATTGAATTCATGGGGAGATACATACACATATTCAGTTTTGCGGTTCTTTTGGGCGTTTTTTTTTTTTACCGTTACCTCACCTCCTGTGATTCATGGGTTCAAATATCATCAGCAAACATGCTCGCCTTTTCAACCGTGGGGGCGTTATAATGTCACAGTCATCCCACTATTCGTTGGTAAAAGAGTAGTCCAAGAGTTGGCTGCGGGTGGTGATGATTAGCTGCCTTCCCCTCTAGTATTTCACTGCTAAATTAGGGACGGTTATCGTAGATAGTCCTCGTGTAGCTTTGCGCAAATTTCAAAAACAAACAATCCTGTTGATGGATCTTCACCAAATTTGGCTTAAAGGTTTGTTGGGCCCATGCGGAGATATTCAAATTTGTGGTTTCACATTTTATGTTTTGCAGTTTTTATGGGCGTTTTTGCATTTTTAACAATTACATATAGGGGAAGCAACTTTTCATGCCCTAAGTAACCAGTTATTAATCATGAATTTACATAACTTCCGTCCATGGGAGGGGTACTCCAGCTAGTATTCAATAATTTATATTGTTAAGCCTACTACAGAGATATTAGGTCTAAACTATTCTCTTTTGTGTTATTTCAAATATAAAAAAAATCTAAACATTTCGAAAACTATTTTAAAAGATTTTTCAATTAATCCAATAGGAATTGTTATAATATACCAATATTTCATTATAGTTTAAAGGAATTGGATATAACTTGTAGCCTTAATTCTTTGTAGAGAAATCTAGCTTCGATTGCTCTGCTTTCATATCTTAGCTATTAGAAATAAAGTTTGCTTTTTAATTCCCCTTCAAGACTATCATGGCCTGTTGAGTAGAGTGTTCGACTCGTAATCTACAGGTTCGAATCCTATCACCAGACATGCTCGCCCTTTCAGCCACTGAGGCGTTATAATGTGCGATCAATCCCACTATTCGATTATAGTAGCGGTGGTTGATATTGACTACCTGATTTCCCTGTAATCTATCACTTCTAGGTGAGGGAAGGTTAGTGCAGATACCTTCGTATACCTTTGCGCTAAATTCAACAAAAAATACATCAAATTTCCTCCTAATATACTCTTTGTTCTTGTCGCTCTGTTATACTTTCCCTTAGAATGTGGGTGCTATAAAGTAAATAAAAAAATTAAATTACGTTACTTTTATAGTTCCTCTTTCGAACGCAATGAAGCGCTCAAGGAAGTTATTTACTGGATTGCAAGCGGAATTTTGTGTGTTTAAAGTACAAGCTGTTTGGTTCTTTTACCAAAATAACAAGGCTGAGTTTTTTTCTTGTTAGTGTATTATACAATAGCTATAAGTAATTACGCCCTTAGTCTGAATACCTCCCGCTAGTGAACTGAGGTTAAACGCTGTGGCCAATTGGCATATTCAAGTTCATGCTGTGATGGAGAGCTCAGATTTTGTGAATTTTTTTTTCTTTGTTGTTGTTGAATTTCGCGCGAAAATATGTTCCTAACATAGTACTTGGCTGAACTACCAGTTTTCAACTCTTTTTAGTTTAGAAGTTATGTTTATAAAACTTTGCTACTTTTCTTTAGTTCCCCAGGTTGGAACATAGTGTTGCGTCAGCGAGGTCACGTGAATAGTGTCATGCCACGTTTCTAGAACTATCTTGTTCCTTCGTGAATGCCCTAGCATTTACTAGATACAGGGTAGGCTGGTATATATATAAGAGGGTGACGGCGTGACGCGACAATGTGTGTGTAGGTAATGAGAAATTGAACTGCTGTCAGAGAGAGACGTATTGTTGAAGTAGAGCTCGTGAGACGTGAACTATAGTTAGTTATAGCGCGACTGTTGAAAATAAGTGTATCGTAAAGTTGTATTCGGAAAGAATAAACCAGTTTTATTAAGTAAGGACTTGTGTCGCTAAAGTTTCGTCGGAACGAAGTTACGGAAAATCAATTAACAAACGGAGACGTAACAATAGCATTTATCAATTTCTAATTTTAACATGCCCCAGTGGTTAATATCGGGTCAAGTTGAGATTAAGTACCTTTTTGTCTAATTATTTTTCAGGAACAACAACATGTTTTTAATTAGCACGCCAACTTATTCTTGTCAAACAGTAGCTATGGATAATCTCGCCCATGATCTTTACTGCCCATTGGCCAAATGATCTAACTGGCACCAATCACTGTTTTCTTATGTCCAAAACACAAGAGTTTATTGACATATTTAAGACAGTGTTGGAGCCTGGGAAAGCATATTTTTGTAGATATATGAGTAGAGTTTATTAGATTTTACTGGAATTTATTCATATTTTAATGTAGATTTTTCACTAGTGTATTAGTTTAACATACGGCGAGAATTTCTGAAGCTCTTGCACTAATATTGTAAGTGTAACTTTGGGTACATATTGTTTGTTTTATTATATTATATTTTATCTTGTTTCAGGGAAACTCTTAAAGTCCTCCTGCACCTGCAAGTGTTAGTCATAGTTGAGCTTAGAAAGATTAGATATTTTTCCACAACCTAGAAGACTTTGTTTTTGTGTCTCCACCTCTCATCCTTTGTATCCAGTTGATAACTTCAGTGTCTTCTGCTCAACGTAGTTGGTCTTCGAACTCAAAGTTCTTGAAAGGTGAACCAGAATACGAAGCTAGAGAAGATCAATTTGAAGATTCAAGAACATGAACGATTTTTTTCCTTGTAAGGTATCTGTACTGAAACTCTAAAGGATTCATGATGTCAGTGTAAAAAATACAAAAACTGGGACTTTTGATTAATTATATAATCAACGTGGCTTTTCAAAGTGGAAGGAGTGTGAGATAGCAAATTCTGTTTTTTTTTCGTTATGGTTTTGTTTACAATTACTTTATTATTCCTTCTATTGTTTAGTTTAACTGTACAATTTTATTTTACATTTAAACGCTAACTCACCTTGCAGTCAATCACAGCAATATTATTTCAAATAAATTGAAAACTGACACCAGTTTCCCCTTATCGGTGACGTACAGATACTAATGTTGATATAAGTACGTACATGATTTGTAACCTCATGA